GGCCTGGGAAAAGGGTGGGACTCCTAACAGGAAGGGAGGAACTTCTCACCAGGCAACAGCCCTTCCCCAGCCTCAGTGGTTTATCGAGAAATCAGAGAGACTCCATAAGGCTTAGAGCTCAAGGGTGCAGGGCTGGGCAATGAATAAATGATTGTAATGCCTTTGGAAATGGAAGTGCTAGGCAAATGCTAAATGATAATAGGAGAAAATAATCATCTTCCATTATCTTCTTTAAAGATGTAAATGACATACTCTTTTAAATCTAAAGTGGGTTCAAGAAACAGCAGTATGCTGACCAGAGAGGTGCACCAAGTGATCCTGCAAACCCATTCAGCATGCTGAACGCAATTATAGTGCTGACCATCAGCCCTGAAAACAAATTACAGTAGCTAATGACAGGGAACAGTAATTAGAATGTTTTTAGAAAATTACTTGGAAACAAAATTGTCAACAAAGACCACTCAAATATAGCTGTAAACAGCTTAAGTAACAGAATAATGCAGTGACCTATGCCCCCAAGTGACATGAAGACGATGTTAAACACATTCCGGGTCCCAATCACTGTCTTCCAAAGTGATTATGTACATTGTTTTTAACCTCAGCCTTTGTGGGTCATTCCAAATGAGGTGGAGAGCCAAGTGCCCTTGAACATTCTGCTGTTTAGTAAAGTCTTATCCGGGTTCACTCGTATATTCTGGATAAGTCTCCCTTTCCCCTCTCCTTTGCATTCTTTGTTATCTTTGGCATTCGTTTTTGAAAAACATGCGCCTCACTTGGAACAAATCCATTAAAGCAAACAACCTTAAAACTTTCCCAACCGCCCCCACGGCTGTGATCCGCAGGCGCCCCGATACTGGGGGCAGGGGGGAGGGGCTCACCTCCCAGGGGTTACAGTGCTTGTGGGGATCCTGCTGGAAGAGTTTCTCGTTAACTATAATAGGATCTGACATTTACATATCTCAGTTTTAATTCCCTGCAGACTGGTACAGCTCAAGCCTATGATAAGTGGGGGGATGGAGTATAGAGGGGGGAAAAAAAAAGGCACCGGTGGAGGGGGGTATGGAACAAGAGACAAAGGATACATTGCAAACCTTGAGATTGAAACAGGTTCTCATCTCTCTTTATCAGTTACAGAGCAAAACCAAATTTCCCCAAACAGGGAAGTTTGAGGAGAGAACCGCTTCAATAAAAAGTTGCCACTTTTGTTTTTTTTTGGCTCAGAAAATCTCAAGCTTAACTCTCATTTTTCTTGCCTGTAATGGAGAATCGAGCAATTCCTTGCAGTTGTGTGCATCTGTGTGTATTTTAAGGCAAAACAAGTACCAAAAATATTTGTTTAAAAGAAACCATATTCAGTGGAATTCTTTCTGAAATGTGTGTTCCGCATCCTTCTCTGACTAGACAGCATCCGAAGGAGGGCCAGTCTTATAATTGAGAGCTCCAATGCCATTATTAGAGCCAGGTGCCACAGAAAATGCTGGACTACAGTTATGCTTGGCACCTAATATGAAGTCATTTTGAAAATGTTTTAGTCCACTCCAGGGTGGTTTTCTCTACCTCTGGACTTTACTGTCAGGCTAGCTAATTTTACTTTTCACAACCCCATCCACTTTTCAGTTTCCTGCTTCTATGGCCTAAACTCTTAAGGCCTAAGAACTGCAGCCTAACTGGCTCTCAGTAGGGGCCTGTGAGTAAAGTGACATTGACTGCTTGCTAGAAACTTTGTATTTTTCACTTTTGCTCTTGGACCACATTCCAAAGATCTGAGCCGACTGTATAAATGGGGTACCACTGAAATTAATAAAAGCTGCTAATTATAGCATAGGATTTAGGCATCTGATAGAGATTTATATGAGATACTCAGATTATACAACCTTTTTTTTTCTATTTTCTGGCTTTTAGTTTCATAGTTTCAGGATGACGCAATATGTTAACATGCTCTTTGTTTCTAATTAATTTGTAAAACATCCACTAATAGGATTAATATAATTCTATTACAGAGAATTTGTTATACAGAGGAACAACCACCCTAAAACCCATAGTCCTGAATCTTAACCCTCCCATGCCTTGCACTTTGGGTATTTCTTTGACATGTATACACATGCTTTGGCAAACATACTGACATCTTCTATACAAGTTTATATCCTGGATTTTTTAATGTACTGAAGTATAGTTGATTTACAATGATTTAGGTGTAAAGTGATTCAGTTATGCTTATGTATATATACTACTCTTTTTCAGGTTCTTTTCCATTATAGGTTATTAAAAGATACTCAATATAGCTCTCTAAGCTGTACAGTAGGTCCTTGTTATCTCTTTTATATATACCAGTTTGTATCTGTTAATCCCAAATTCCCAATTTACCCCTCACCCCCCCTTCCCTTTGGTTTTTGTTTTATACCTTTTTTTTTAGATTCCACCTATAAGTAATATCATATGGTATTTGTCTTTCTCTGATTTCACTTACTGTGATAATCTCTAGATCCATTCATGTTACTGCATTCTTTTTTGTGGTTGTATCATTTTTATGGTTGAGTAATACTCCATTTAGATTGTCTCCATGTTTTGGTTATTGAATAGAGCTATGGATATTGGAGTGCATGAATCTTTTCAAATTAAAGTTCTTATCTTTTCTGGCTATATGGCTAGGCATAGGATTGCTAGATCAAATGATAACTCTATTTTTTAGTTTTTTGAGGAACCTCCATACTGTTTTCCATAGCGGCTGCACCTATTTACATTTCCACCAGCAGTATAGGAGGGTTCCCTTTCCTGTCTGAGCCTTTTAATTTATTGCTGGATTCAGTTTGCTAGTATTTTGAGGATTTCTCTATGTTCATAAGTGATATTGACCTGTAATTTTCTTTTTTCATGATTTTTTTTTTTGGGGGGGGTCTGGTTTTGGCATTAGGCTGATGGTTGGTGGCTTCACAGGATGGTTTGGTAGTGTACCTTCCTCTGCAATTTTTTGAAATAATTTCAGAAACAGGTGTTACCTCTTCTTTAAATATTTGGTAGAATTCCTCTGTGAAGCTCTCTGGTCCTAGACTTTTGTTTCTTGGGAGTTTTTAAATTACTGATTCAATTTCAGCACTGGTAACTGGTTTTCTATTTCTTCCTGGTTCAGTCTTGAGAGATTGTACCTTTCTAAGAATTTTTCCATTTCTTCTAGGTTGTCCATTTTATTGGCATATTAGTTCATAGGAGTCTCTTTGTATTTTTACATCCTGTGTTTAAAATGCACTATGTCATGGATAAAGAAATTGTGGTACATATATACAATGGAATATTTCCCAGCCATAAAAAGGAACAAATTTGAGTTAGTTGTAATGAGGTGGATGAACCCAGAGCCTGTTATACAGAGTGAAGTTAGAAAGAGGAAAATATAGCATATTAACCCATATATATGGAATCTAGAAAAATGATACTGATAAACCTATCTGCAGGGAAGGAATGGAGACACAGAGATCAGACTTATGGACACAGCAGGGGAGAGGAGGGTGGGACGAATTGAGAAAGTAGCATTGACATGTATACACTACCATGTGTAAAATAGAGAGCTGAGATAGCTAGTGGAAGGTGCTATAAAACACAACCCCGCCTGAAACATTGTGACGACCCAGAGGGGCGGGAGGCTCATGAGGGCAGGGACATATGGTGATAACTGATTCCTGATGTTGTGCAGCACAAACCAGCACAAGATTATAAACCAATTATCCTCCAATCAAAAATAAAAAATAAAATCCACTATCTCATAACTAGTTTCCTTGTTGCTATACACACACACGTCTTCATGGTTATTCTTTTATTTTTTTAATTGAAGGATAATTGGTTTACAGAATTGTGTTGGTTTCTGCCAAACATGGCTATCCTTTTAATGACAACAGATTATCCCACTAAGTAGCTATATAATCATTTACTTAAATATTTTCTTTGGGACTTTAGATTATTTTCACTATTAAAATAACCCTGCCATGAACATCTTCCTGAACATAGCTTTTCCTTGTTTGCTTACTTGACTTGGGATTTTTATCCTTAGGAGTCTCAGAAGTAACATTACTTAGAAAAAGAGTCTGACAGCTTAGAACCAAGTCTTAGAAAAGAAATTTTTGAATGGGTGTTGGTAACTTTGGATAGCAGCTGAGCACATCTCCAAACCAGGTGGCATGAACCCCAGAGATGAGAGGTACTGGGTCAGGGGAAGGTGTCCCACAGCTCCGCTGCTACGCTTCTGGTACCGCTCTACCGTGATAACAGAGGCTCAGGAATGGCTTTAAAAAGACAATGTGAAAAGGGTATTTGAATCACTGCTGAAATGAAGCAGCTATGTGGAGAAATCTGTATCATGGCACCACCCGTGTTCAGGATGATTCATGGGAGGGACAAAAGGGAAAGAACTAGCTGGAGAGAATCCTTACTTAAATGTTCATCCAGAAAAGTTCTTATTTTAAGACCAATTAGCAACTGCCTTATATTTGTGTTTTTACTGAATGCCACATGAATGCATTGGGATGGTTTTGACAAGTAACAGAAGGTCCAAATAAGAGCCTAAACTGGAAAGGGTTTATTATTTGACCTAATAAAAATCCATAAGAAATAACAGTATTAATAGTCATTTCAGAAATAACATTAAGGACTAACTCCCAGGTATTATTCTATGCTCTCAACATCTATTAAGTCATTTATTCCCTTGTATAAAGCTCATGATGTGTCCCCCAACTTGAGACGAGGCAACTCAGGTATGGAAAGTTTATTATTAAACTTTACACAGAATTAGGTGTAAGATCCAGAATTTAGACCCAAGCTGTCTAGCGCCTACCCTTTTAACTACTGTAATAGGACTATTGTCTATATAGTTAATTCACTGGTTCTGTAATTTTGTAAATGATAGAAGCACCAACTCAAGCATGCCACTTGACTTACAGTTGGTATGCATTCTGATTTGTTGGCGCCTGTAGTGTACTGCTTATAAATATTTGCTATATCACCCTTGGACCTAGGTAATTTCCAGTTTTCTCCTTTGCCGTCTTCATCACATCAACAATAGCTTCCTTCATGGATAAGGGAGGTTCATTAATTGGAAGGGTCACAGATATGATGACGTCCAGCAAAGGTGAGTTCGACATTTTAAGAGTTTACTACTTAGCTTTTAAAAAGTACAACATACATACACAAATCTAAAATGTTCAGCTTGATAAATTTTTACCAGAACACTCAAGTCATCACCATACAGATAAAGATACAGAACATTAGTGGAACTTTAAGCCCCCTCTGAGATTCTTATAGTTATTCTGATGAAATTTTCCACTTTTCTGCTATTTTATTAAACATTCTGGTCATAGTTATTTTTACTTCCTTGACTGATTACTCAAATATCTCAATCACCCCTAGGTCTATGTTTCTATTCATTTGTGGGTTTTTTAAGTCAATCCCATTTGTTTACATACTGCTTAACTTTTTTTTTCCTTGACTGTCAGGCATTGTGTATGAAAAATTGTAAGGCTCTTACTAATGATATTTTCATTCAAAGAGGATTTAATTCTTTTCTGGAAGGCAGTTAGAATAATTTCAGGTCAACCTGGTTTGGCTAAGAGTGGATCCTAGGCTATGTTAGGCTTGACTTTTTCATAGTTTGTTCTTGCTCTCATAATAGAGTCATCTTGGGGGGCTCTCAACAGTATCTGGGGCCCTTCAGTCATGCTGGGCCTCAAACTTCAACCTCTATCTGTTCATCCTCTTTGTAAACTCCGAACCTGAACTTTTTCCAGTCCAGAGAGATTGTCCCTATACCCAGCTGTCATTTTCTGTTCCACCTTCACTCCTTACACCATTGATGGGTAGAAGTAGAATGTCCTGATGGTGGGGGGACAAAAATGCAGGGCTTCTTTCTCCTATCTCTCCAGAAATTTAGCCACTCCATTCCTGTTTGCCTTCATTGTTCTTCTATGGCTTTCAGTAATTGGTTTAAATATTTTGTTCAGCCTTCACAAGGAGGGGAGAAGGGAAAAGTCTATCCAGGATGCGCTCAACAGAATACCGCTTAGGCAGTCCCTGCCATTGGAACTTCAGTGAGTCAGTGACAAGGGCAAAGAGACCATCATATACAGTTAGACCAACGTGGGCACATGGACTGAGACTCTGCCAGAAAACAATGAGAGGAACTGGGATTCCAGACTGCTTATGTGATGGTGCTTCTCCTTACAAGGACTATCACATGGGGCGCTCTCCAGTCTTAATCTCCAGATAGACCCACCTTCTGATATAGGCACTTCTTCTCTGCTTCGATTCCGTTAGTTTACAAGCTCCTCTAGACTTGTGCTCTGCCTGTGTGTGTGTGTGTGCGCCTGCTCAGTCATGTCCACCTCTTGGGACCCCGTGGACTGTAGCCCACCAGGTTCCCCTGTCCATGAGATTTCCCAGGCAAGGACCCTGGGGGGAGGTTGCCGTTTCCTTCTCCAGGGGAATCTTCCCAACCCAGATACTGAACCCACCTCTCCTGCATTGGCAGGCTGACCACCAGGGAAGCCCGCCTCTTTGTATCCCCCATCTAAACTGTGTTTAAAAACTAGATAAGGGAGGTTCTACTATGAAATCATTTGATTTTAAATGGAATTTTCTTATGTGAAGCATTAGAAATAACATCATTTAATGGTGCATCATAAAACTTTGAAATAATGGACAATCTTCTCCTCGATACCCATAACTCCAGAAACTTTTAAAATTTTCTACAGGAAGTTTATATTATAGAAACCTATATAAATTACCTACAATTGGTTTTCTCATTTTTTTTTTTTTAAAGTACTTAGGTTCCTGGACAAGATGGTAGAGCAGAAGGACCTTGTGCTCACCTCCTCTCACAAGCACACCAAAGTTACCACTAACTGTTGAACAGCCGTTGATAGAGACTGGAACCTACCAAAAAAGGTATTCTATATCCAGAGACATGAAGAACCCACAGCAAGACCGCAAGGGATGCACTCTCGATATAATCAAATCCCATACCCCCCAGACAGGCGACTGACAAACTGGGGAATGATTACATTGCCGGAGCTCTCCCACAGGAGTGCGCTTTCCGAGCCCCACATCAGATTCTCCAGCCTGGGGGTCTGGCACTGGAGGAAGACCCGTCAGAGCTTTTGGCCTTGAACACCAAGGGGGCTTGATTGCAGTTTTCCGCAGGACTGAGGGAAAGAGAGACTCACTCTTGGAGGGCGCACACGAGGTGTCATGTGCCCTGGGACCCAGGGCAAAAGCAGCTGACTTCATAGGAGCCTTTAACACTTATCTGAAGAGATAATAGCTGAAAACAGCCAAGAACAGGAAGTGCAGGGAGTTCCATACAGGATTAACCCAGGGAGGGACATGCCAAGACACAGTAGTAATCAAACTCACAAAAATTAAGGGGAAGATATTAAAAGCATAAGGGAAAAGCAATAAACAACGTACAAAGGAATCCCTATAAGGTTACCAGCTGAGTTTTTAGCAGAAACTCTGCAGGCCAAAAGGGAGTGGCAGGATATATTTTAAAGTGATGAAAGGGAAAAAACTTACACTACTCAACCCAGCAAGGTTCTTGTTCAGGTTTGATGGGGAAATAAAAAATGGTACTGAAAAGAAAAGCTAAGAGAATTCAGCATCATCAAACCAATTTTATAACAAACGCTCAAGGAACTTCTCTAGGAGGAAAAAGAAAAAGCACAACTAGAAACAAGAAAATTATGAAATGGGTAAAAGCAAGCATATAGTAAAGGTAGGAAATCACACACAAATATGTTATCCAAGCCAGTAATTGTAAGAGCAGGGGTACAAATGCAGGATATTTGAAGTGCAGTTGAAATTGAGATCAGCAGCTTAAAAATAATATATATATATGTGTGTGTTTTTTATGTATAAAAACTGAATCATTTTGCTGTATGCCTAAAACCCAATAACATTGTTAAATCAACTATACTTCAGAAAAATTACTTAGCCATTATAGTGTGTTAGACGCTCAGTTGTATTCGACCCTTTGTGACCCCATGGACTGTAGCCCACCAGGCTCCTCTGTCCGTGGAATTCTCCAGGCAAGAATACTGGAGTGGGTTGCCATTTCCTTCTCCAGAGGATCTTCCCGACCCCAGATTGAACCCAGGTCTCTAACATTGCAGGCAGATACCTTACCATCTGAGCCACTTGGCCATTATAGGATGTCTGGAAAATTACAGAAATGCACGAAGAAAAAAAAATTAACTTCAATCTCACCATCCTGGGATTTGTTACTACGTTGTTAACTTTTGGAGAATACCCATATGATATTTTTTTTCCTCTGTCTCTGTGTTTCCACACAATTAAAATAGTTTTAACACTGTGGACATTTTATACATTTTCAAAACAAACTTTAACTCTTTATTGATTTTTTCCTTTAAGATACAGATAAAAATTATAGTAGGAGCTTATCTATTAGGACTTTTTATTTAAATAAAAACTATAAAAGTGATCATTCCTTTTGACAGTGTTTTTCTCCATTTGAATCATATGACCACACATCCTGGGAGTTTTGAAGAAAAAAGTAAAAATTTTATGAGAGTCAGGTCACAATGAAAACAAACAGGAACTCAAGGATAATATGTGGAGTTTCACACTGTCATGCTTACAACTTCACAGCAAACTTCTGAGATCAAACTGTGACATTTCCAGACTGAGACTCCAGAACTTGAAACCCTCCTCCTGTTTTATTTCACCAACATATGCAGAATATTGGTGGTCTCATAAGAGAAACCTGAATAGAGAGGAAATAGCCAACATCAGGGAATATCCTAGAGAAAGGAAACCATGATTTCCTTTCTACCAGAAAATGTAACTGCTCAGCTGAGATTTGTCTTTGCTCGTGCAAACCATTTATTGGGGTGCAAAAAGAAAATATTAAAACTGTAGTTTTATTTCTTCATTAAAAAATATGTTCTCTATATATCTTGTATGATATATATTAGTACAGTAGGATATATGCATACTTTATAAATTATTATGTATATTGGGGTTAACTAAAATTGGTATATATTACACAAAAAGATACTCTCATAATAGAAGTACACAAGTAAAACATTTGGAGATCACTATCATCCTTCAAAAGCACTTCTTAACTGGAGTCTGAGCTTTTAAGTGGTGGAAAATCATATCCTTACTGGAAAATACATTGTTTAAAAATGTTATGTCTTTTACAACAGAACTAAGTTGAAGCCGAAACTCCAATACTTGATGCGAACAGCTGACTCATTGGAAAAGATCCCAATGCTGGGAAAGATTGAGGGCAGGGGGAGAAGGGGATGACAGAGGATGAGATGGCTGGATGGCATCACCGACTTGATGGACATGAGTTTGAGTGAGCTCCGGGAGCTGGTGATGGACAGGGAGGCCTGGCGTGCTGCGGTTCATGGGGTTGCAAGGAGTCGGACATGACTGAGTGACTGAACTGATGTGAATTACTGAATGAAGTCTAAGGAAGAGGACTTCTTTTCCAGCCCCTTCTCTGTGCTAATGGAGAAGAGATTCACTCATTCATTCAACGTGTATCAAATGCCACTGTTCGGAGAGCAGCATCCCGAGGACAGGGAAGGAAACAGGATTAAGACACGGTCTAGACGATCACCTGTCATTCAAGGAAAAGTGAGGTGGGAGCTCTTAGTTCAGATTGGGGGTATTGGGAAGAAGGTTTCCAAGTGAGAGATTTCCATACGCAAGGGAGTGCCAGGCAGTCCTGGATGAGGAACCAAACAGAGCATGCAAGCGCAGAAAGTATTTGAGCTGTTGGAGATAAGCCAATAATTCAAAAAGACCAGATCCCGGTGTACTCAGAGTGATAGAAAGGGCAGTAGACTGGACTGGAAAAGAGACCATAACAGTTCTTGGATATTGTACTGAGTCTGAGCAAAAGCTTGGTAAAAATCATATTACTATTCCCATTTTTATACTCAGAGAAGCCTGGTCACAGGTGTGCATAAAACAGAACTGGCTTCCAAGCCGATGTCCTTTTCACTTTTCATTTATAACTCCTAGCCATATAAAAAGAAAAATGCAACATCTCCTTGAGTCATGAGAATAAAAGCAAAAATAAACAAATGGGACTTAATTAAACTGCAAAGCTTTTGCACAGCAAAGGAAACCATAAACAAAATGAAAAGAAAACCCACAGAATGGGAGAAAATATTTGCAAACAAAGCGATTGACAAGGGATTAATCTCCAAAATATACAAACATCTCATGCAGCTCAATATAAAAAAACAAACAACCCAATCAAAAAATGGGCAGACGATCTAAATAGACATTTCTCCAAAGAAGACACACAGAGCCAAGAGGCACATGAAAGATGCTCAGCATCACTAATTATTAGAGAAATGCAAATCAAAATTACAATGAGGTGTCACCTCACAACAGTTAAAATGGCCACCATCAAAAACTTTACCTTCTCCAGCATTTGTTGTTTGTAGAGAGAAGGGAACTCCCCTACACTGTTAGTGGAAACGTAAATTGGTACAGCCACGATGGAGAACAGTATGGAGGTTCCTTAAAAAACTAGAGAGTTATACCATATGATCCAGCAATCCCACTCCTGAGCATATATCCGGAGGAAACCATAATTCAAAAAGATGCATGCACCCGATGTTCGTTACAGCACTGTTTCCAATAGATAGGACATGGAAGCAACCTAAAGGTCCGTCAGCAGAGGAATGGGTAAAGAAGATGTGGTACATATATGCAGTGAAATCTCAGTCATAAAAAAGAACAACATGATGTCCTTTGCAGTAACATGGATGGACCTTGAGACTGACACATATACACTACTATATATAGAATAGATAACTGATAAGAACCGAAAGCACGGGAAACTTTTTTCAATACTCTGTAATGACCTATATGGGAACAGAACCTTAAAAGAAGAGTGGATATATGTGTATGTAACTGACTCACCTTTCTTTACAGCAGAAACTAACCACATTATAAATCTGCTGCTGTTCAGTTGCTATGTCATGTCCAACTCTTTGTGACCCCTAGGACTACACCCTGCTAGGCTCCTCTATATTTCAGTTTTAAAAATGCAGTGTGAAATGTTTTTCAGCATTGTTGCTTATTGCCATGTGAGTTTAGAAGAGGTAAATTGAAACACCTAATAAGACTGAAGAGCCCTTTTGTCCTTTATATTATCAGGCCTTTTAAATCATTATATGTGAAAACGTTGCAGCGCTGACAAAGGCTGTCATTAAAGCATTAATGACAGGGACTGAAATCTCTGTACCTCCATATCCCTATGTCTGACATAGTACCTGGGCCCTCGAAGGTACCTAGTAAGGAAGGAAATAAAAACCAGTTTTTCTGTTTTCCTTTTAGAGTAAAGAAGTCCATTAAATTTGAATTCAATCAAGGAAGTTGATTAGGGAGGGGCTCATTCACTTCAGTCATCTCTGACTCTTTTTGACCCCTTGGACTGTAGCCCACACCAGGCTCCTCTGTCCATGAGATTCTCCAGGCAAGAATGCTGGAGGGGGTTGCCATTTCCTTCTCCAGGGGATCATTCCTGACCCAGGGATGGAACCCAAATCTCTTGCGTCTCCTGCATTGGCAGGTGGATTCTTTACCAGTGCGCCACCTGATTAGGGAATCATGCACACAAATACATTTGCAATCAATTTATGTCCCTTTACTGTGGATTTGGAATTTTCTTTATGATAATTAGGGGTTTTGAACATCTAGTTGACATATACCTACTTATAGTAATGGATAGAACACAGTGATGGGAAGTATTACAGGAGTTAGATTTAGGTAAAATCTTGGTTCTACACATCAGCTAACCATGCATAAGACTGTATTTCACCTTAGATATTTTCTAAAGTTTCATTTTCCTCCTCTGTGACACTGGAATATTAGTACTACTTTGCAGGGTTGTTGGAAGGCTTAGAGGTATAAACTCTGTATTTAATATAAAGTCTCTTGTCATGTAGTAGGCACTGAATAAGTTGTTGCTATTACTGCTATTTTCTATTTTAATTTTTAAAAACTCAGTTATACTTCTTGACAAATAGTCATTTTGTTGGATGATATTCAAGCTTGTGGAATCTGTGAATCTGTTCTATAGCCATATAATTTTTTCAACCTGTGTAAGTTTAAATACAGAATAATCCTATTGGTCTGGGTAACTCTGGCTCAATTGTTTCCTGTCTGTGAAAATATCACCACTTGTTTAATAGCTTCTGTCAGAATGGGGTTAAGGCAACCTACAGAACAGTAGTAAAATCGGGTTTAAACAAATCTGTTTATACTTAATTCTCTCTACTTACTGATAGAATGAACAGTTTTATTAGAAAATAATCAGCATGTGGATCTCTTTTTTCTACATTTGCTCCACCTTCACCACACAGACCCTCTTAATCTTCCAGTGATTCTCGTTGAGTTGGGTCCTTAACAGATAACAATGAATTTTAAGCATGGTATTTACCACACTCTTCATTCTCTGGGGAAATTGATTTGATGGGAACAGCAGATTTGGAGTTCTGACCTGGGGTGATGTAGAGAATTTACAGAAAAAATAAGTAACTCGGGAGAGTAAACAGTATCTTTTGAAAACTTATCATTCCCTCTCCAGAAAAGGCTAGCAGAGTGATTCTTCTGCTATGTATCTTATTTTGTTGGAGACATAAACCT